CAGGTAGGACAGCGAAGTTCGCGCTGGACCTGACAACAAGGAGACAAAGAAAAAAGCGGCTGCCAGGCGCACCCTTCCGGATCTCGATGGTTATCAGCGTGTAGCTCGCGCGCTGCTGCGGGTCACGTGACAGAGGTTACAAGTGGAGAAGGAGGGGGTGAGTTCAAGGCATGGGACACCAGGACAGCCCCTCTCCCTCTCCCCAGGCATTCCAGTGAGACGTGTTTTTGTAGCCTCAAAAAGCAAACGCGCGCGCGCGCGCATTTTAGCACGCTTGAACGCGTGAAATGGCAGCGGGGCGGCCAGAAACTCGGCTTCCGCCCGAGCGAAGAAAATACTCAGCGCGAGCTCATAGTTTGACTGCTGCAACGGCGTGCGTGCTCTCGCAATGCTCGATGTTCTTGCAGCCGCGTGTACGCGCGCTACGTTCGCTGCGGCTTGAATTGAAGTGAAACGGAGTCTAGACGTACATTCTTTCAGGCGGTCGCGTCTTCTGCGTAAGAGATTCAAGCTGAATAAGCGAATTGAGGTAACAAAGATGGACAAAGTTTTAAAGTACTTTCAAAAGTATTTGCTCACCAACCTCGCGTGTTTACGTAAAAAAAAAAAAAAAAAAAGGTGTTAATTTTAGTTGCAGTATGAGCGAACATTAGCGCAATTAAAACATAAATATAATTACTTGCATCACGCGGACGTTCTGAAATCGATGAACCGGTGCTCCGAGCCTTCCGGAAACATTGGCTGCCACGGCTGAAACGCTAGGCGTGCCCATGCCGCTGATCTGTACGTTCAATATCAAACGGGCTCCGGAGAGCCGTTTGATTAAACCGGTACAGTTTGCCCGGTCACCGGTCACTCGTTTGTGCAACATGGTCACCGGTTTGAGCAAACGTGCGACAACTTTGCCCAAACGAGTCGCCCATTTGCCCAGACGAGCAAACCGTTGGCCAAAGGAGTGATCTGTTTGTGCAAACAGGTGACCGTTATGGCTCATACGGGGGATGCCTTTGAGCCATACGGGCGACCCCTTTGACAAACTGGTGACCGGTATGGTTAAACTGTTACCGGTATGGACCTGTTTATTTTCATATAGCTACCAAATGTTGTTGTTTTTTTTTCAATAGGGCTGTGGGCAACGCTGCACAAAGTCGTAGCGCGATAGGTTAAGAAACCGAATTTTTCGCTATATTTAAAGAGCCTGGCGTCTCCTTGAATCACCCTGTATATTTGACGTGGGACGCTAGTCTTAGGCCAGCCCCGCTACAAAAACAAGCAACCGCACAGAGTGAACGTATTTGCGACAGTAGTTTTTTTGGAAAATGCGTCGGTTGAGAAGATCTTCCTCTAATCGCATCGGTGAACACAACATGTTTAGCATTCTTAAAAACAGACGAGCTCAACGATATATGCTTGTTCAACACTCCGCAGACGTCGGCAACCATGTTCTATATGGTTTCACACCATTGCGGAAAAGGCAATGAGGGATATTTTTGAAAACAACAATTATTCAATTCATATTATTTGTTTTTGATATATATAGCTGTTGTAGAATAAAAAGATATTACTGCGCGGAGATACTATTTTACAACCAACATTTCAAACGTCAATAATCTTTCTAATCAGTGAGAGTCGAGAAAAGGTGCTTAGTTATCTAAGCACCCGACAGGACCTCGGGCAAGGTCCACCCTTTTCCCCTAAATCGTGTCTATCGCCGTTTATATTCATTAAATCTTTTTTTTTTCAAGAAAAAAAAACACGAAAAACACCCGAAACAAACATGGGTCCCATTAAAGGCATTAAAAATAATTTCAGTGTCCTTTAAGACTGTCCAAATCACATTTTGAATTTTACGTATATTTTTTTTTCAGAGACCGCGAAGTTTCATCAACTTTAGCATCGTCTTTTAGAATTGATGTTCCACTCAATTACTTATATGTTTATATATATATATATATATATATATATATATATATATATATATATATAAACATAAAACTATTGCATGTATTTTGCAGCCGGAGAGCAGGGTTCATATGCTTACATAGATCCAGAGAAAAAATATTATCAATATAAAATTCTGAATTGTACCTTCGGAAGTTATCAGTAGCATTGGATATCCTAACTTCCATCGATATATTTAAAGACCTCATACTGTAAGTAAATCAAAAATTCTTTGCTTGGAAGAAATAGGTGTATCCATGTATGAAACTAGATTTACTTTGAAATCCCGTCATCTGAACAACCGAAGTAATTTAAATTTAAATTTTTACGATTAAAATGTTGCCCCGTGGTAATAGGTGGAGAACGTTTTCTTAACGCACACTGACTGATGACCAGCATGGACTGAGCATAAAAATTATAAAAAAAATTTAGTATTTGCGCGACAGGAAAATCCGGACTACAAATCATCCGATATGTCTTGTTTTACAACTTTTTTTTTATAAATCTGAGACGGCCATAAGAATCGAGCCTTTATGCGACACACGAGAGACACGTCTGGTCGATACAACGGCATTGAGATTCTTGTTCCGTATCGGTTTCCGACGGAAGCGACCACTCTAACAAAGGATGGGCCGCCTATCCGCATCGATCCCAACTCGGACATAAAGTATACTAGCACAAACAACACTAAATGCCCTTACAGCATCTGGAAGTTTCAGGCACAAACCGCACATCAAAAGAAACTTTAAAGAAAGCGGAACCGCGTTCATTCATCCATTTATTCATCGCGCATTGCGCATTCCGCGGAGGGGATGGGACAAGCCGAGATTTATTCGAGTGCATCCGGGAGTTTGCAACTGAAATATATCTGGTTCGAGCGCGAGATTCGGAGCCAACGTGAGAGTTTCGAATTCGGTTTTCAATAGAAGAATACGCCATCAAGAGTCCAGGAACGGTCTTGTCCGCCCATGACACCTTGCTGAGTAAGCCTTGACACACTAGCTGCGCTTGTCTCCACAGCTTTCGATTTGCTTGGTCGTGCCACCTTTACTTCTCAAAATAAGCGTGGCCCTAAATTTTCTCAGCGAGCGGACATCACGAGTAGGTCCGGACATCCGACGGCGTTTTTCTTTTACCGTTACCGGCGCCCAAAGCACTCATCAAAACAGCTGAAGCCATAGACACTGACAACTTAAGAAAGGCGGGACGTGGCATTTCATATTTAAGCTTCGTGATTAGATCTTCGAGTTTCTTACCTACAAATACCGTGGTCTCATTGACTGAGAAGTATTATTAAGAAACTCTAACGTCGCCACGTCCCGCTTCTTTATGTTGTTTTTTTATTTTGTGAGTTACTGAGATCCGCATTGCTCATCCCAGTTGCTACCGGTTTCCCTTTATTTGCACCACCGTTTCAACGATGTCTGCACAATATTTCTCTCTTTTATTTTATTAAACGTCGCCGTGAGTTGCGCTATAGGTGTAGGGCCAATATTTAATATATACATATATATATATATATGTACGGGTGTGTTTTTCTAAGAGAGACACCAATTACAACAAAATTGTGAAAGCTACACTTTTTAGGTGGGTACAGATGAATTATACGGTCTGAGGACAGACAATGAAGGTTTAATTATAACGCTAAGTCGGCTAAGTAAGTAAAATTTGTTATTACAGTTTAAGAGCGCAGCTCTTAAGCGCCCGTTTCCGTCTTAAGCGGCGTCGGCGTAACAGCGCGTTGCATTATGGGACGTTTACCATAATAAGATTACACGTGACGTCACGTGTGACGTCACGAGGGTCGCGAGTGACAGCACCAGGGACGTCAAAAAACTGACGTCCATCGCAACCCCGCCTTGCGTTACGGGACGTTTCCCATAATGACGTCATACGTGACGTCACGAGGGCCACGAATGTCACTCGCCAAGATCACGACGAGGGTCACAACCTTCACCAGGTCACGAGTGACGTCACCAGGGTCACTAGGGTCATGAGCAATGTAACGAGTGACGTCACAAGGGTCATGAAGGACGTCACGAGGGAGGATGGAGGAGGGTGAGGAGGAGAAGGAAAGCCGGAGGAGAGAGGAGGAGGATGGAGTAGGGAAGAGGGACGGGGAGAGGAGCAGAAGGAGAGGAGGAGGGAGGAGGGGAGGGAAAGGAGGAGGAGAGGAGGTGCATACCCTTCTTTGCACCATCCCCTCCTCCTCCTCCTCAAGGGCTAGGCTCTATTTCGTCATTGCAGAGAGTTCTAAACGTCTAATTAGAAAGCGCAGCTCTTAGCCGCCCGTCTCCGGCTTGAGCGGCGTCGGCGTCGGCGTAACCGCGGGCTGCATTATGGCAAACGTCCCATAATTCACCGCGCCGAAGCGTCACGCGACGTGACGAAGCGGTGCCGAAACGTCACGAGTGACGTTTCGGCACGGTGCATTATGGAACGTTTCCCATGATTCACCGCGCGCGTGCCAAAATATCACCGCGCCAAAACGTCACCGTGACCAAACGTCAAGTGACATTAGAGAGTTTTAGTAATACGTATAGGGGCAAACGCAAATCCCCTGCGTTAGCGTTAACGTTGCGTCGACGGAACGTTACGGAGCGCGTCGATTACGCAATTTTAGTACAGCGGAAGAAGAACGCATACGTAAAGACTCGTAGCGCCATCTAGATGTGCTCCTGTAAACTGCTTCAAACAATCCAAGGCGGGTATTCGGTCAAGCCAATCCAAAGCCCCGATTCTCCTTGCTTTGTTACGGAAGTGCGTGTTTCCGTGTGCCTGTTGTGTACGTGTTTTGTCTTTTTTTTTTTTTTTGGAAGGCTTTACGACCAGCAGTTTGAACTATGGTTCGCTCCAGCGTTTTGCTGGATCCATACTATTTGTCGGAGCTCAGCTGGGGTGATATAGAGGCTCTCATCCTCCGAAAACGGGAGCCAAAGCGGAGGCTGTACGTGTCACAGAGAGGGCTCCTGAATATTGATGCCCTTTCAGAGCAGACTTTTCGAAGGCAGTTCCGCTTCGAGAAGTCGGATTTTCCGACACTGGTGAGGGCTCTAGATATGCCTGAGAGCGTGACAAGCGCCCAGGGGGTGCCCGTACCAGCCCGAGAAGCTCTGCGCATGTGCCTGCGAAGGTTGGCATACCCAAACCGTTTGTACGATCTCCAAGAGTACTTCGGAAGGCATTACACAGTGATATACACCATCACAAACAGGGTGATGTTCCACATTGAAAGAAACTTCGGCTTCCTTCTGGACGACCTGACTGTTCACAACTGGTTGACCCTCGCGAACCTGAAGGAGATGAGCGAGGTAAGCTTGACACTGACAACTCCAGTACCATTCTTTGGTTTAGGCAACAAATAATTGCTCTAACATTTTGCTTCGCATAACCACGTAACCTAAATTTTAGTAACAACCGTGCCCGAATCATGAAGCGCTTGTGTTGCATCTAGTTCTGGTCTCGATTTTCTGCATAGTTATAATATAAACAGCGCATAGTTTTCGTTGTTATGCGTGGAGAAGCCCCTTATGAAATGCTTCGCAATTGCAGTATGTTGTTCTATTTGCAGGCAGTCCATTGCAAAGGAGCTCCACTCACAAATTGCTGGGCTTTCATAGACGGCACGGCAAGGCCGATCTGCCGGCCTTCAGAGGACCAGCGACAGTTCTTCTCTGGACACAAGAGGGTGCACGCACTCAAGTACCAGGCGCAGATGTGCCCGAATGGCCTAATCTGCGAAATGGACGGCCCATACCCAGGAAGCAGGCACGATGCTGGCAAGTTCTAGACTTCTCTGTACTTCTCCGGTTTTGATCATGTTCATGCCATTTTTCTAAAAGACATCGCAAACAAAGGTAGAATCGCTGCGGATAGCGGCTGTGATATTAACCATTCATCCGACGCCCAGCAAAGTGCCTTCACTTATTACTTGTTACCGACACTTGCATTCAATGCGCTTTGGGTATTTACTACACTTGGTGTCCGAAATGTCAAACCACTGAGAAGAACAGGTGACTGTTGCCAAAAGACTGTTGGATCTAGTTAGTGGGAACTTATTATGTCAAGCTGCTGTTACGAGCACAGATCAGGCAAGCATCCCTGGAAAAGTTAAGAAGTTTATAATGTTAGCGTGTTCACTACAGCAATTTGTTGGCTAATTTGTTCCAGTTAATGGCAGCACACATGGATATTGTTCTTTCACGGCTGCAGTTTGTGTTGTATTGTTTACATGCTTGACATACAGGGACCCTTCGAGACAGCCATCTTTATGAAAAGCTGGAGGACCTGAACGGAAACCACCAGTTCGTGCTTTTTGGAGATCCGGCATATCCCCTTCGCCCGCTCCTCATGAAGCCCTACGGAGGTGCAAAAGTAACAAAAGAGCAGGAGGACTTCAATGCAGCCATGTGTACCGTTCGCCAGGCTGTCGAATGGGGTTTCGGGAAAGTTATTTCTGAATTTGCTTTCCTAGATTTCAAGAAAAATCAGAAAATACTGCTACAAGCAGTGCCTCGAATGTACAGAGTAACCGTTCTCCTCACGAACCGCCATGCCTGTATATATGGTAACCAGGTCTCTTCGTATTTAGGTGTGAATCCACCCTGCCTTTTTGATCACTTGAAACCGATCATTCATTAGACTTTGGTCACTTCAGAGCTGGATAGGAGTAACTGATGGTAATTCCTGGAGAGGAGACAAAGGACAAACAGTACTCCAAGCACAACTGGATGACTGGTGCGTGGCTGAAGGCGTCCGCGTGGCCCTGGTTTCGAGCCGTGGGACCTTTTCATTTGCAGCGAAGTGCTCTTCAAGCCAAGCTAACCTGAAACTAGGCGTCAGTATTTTCTCAGGTGCGCACCAGTCGCCTAGCTGTGTTCCGAGAATTCTGTTTGTCCTTTGTTCCCCTCCTCCAGGTATTATTATCAGTTACCTCAGTTTTCTTCATTTTGTTTCTTACAGTTGCAGACTTTGGTTGTCAGCGCCTGCAGCACACTAAGCAAAGCCTGCTGATTCGCGTTCAATAGGCGATTTTGCTCGTCTTTACGTTGAAGCTCTTCTGACCGGAGCTCGAGTTGCCTTTCACGGAGCTCGAACTCTTTTTCTAATCTTAGCCATTTTAGCTCGTAATTTTTTCCAGAGCGCCTCTCGTTGGCGTCCAGCTGTGCCCTTTCCAAGGCTATGCGTTGTAGCTCCACTTCAGCCTCCTTGTCCTTGAGCTCCCTCTGGTGGCACCACCTTTTCTCCAGGAACTCATGGTCCACGTTTGCATCTGCGGCATGGGTCCTCCTTTTTCCTGGATAATGCAAGTTGTTATGAAAGGTTCGACATTGCGCGGTGTGTAACACTTACTGCAGGCTGCCCGAATTCTAGGTGTAGGGAGCTCGTCTTTGGCCTCCGCCCTCTCTCCCTGAGGCTCCGTGTGCGTGGCACTGTTGCTACAGCCGAGGCCTTGAAATTCCTGAGGGCGACTTTGGACACTTTGAGTTGCTGTTGCCAGTACAACAGGTCACAGAGGCTGCTCAGTATCACTGTAAATGCCCTCAAGGATGGACTCTGCTGTTTCTGCCGGGTCTACGCCGGTGCTAGAAGCCGCTGGCCCTGAAAAGAAAGTGAAGTGCAATTAAGGTTCTGATAGCTCTGCATTGAATAACTGTGAACATGTTACTATTTGTGACGCTAAGGTTAAGCGAGTAAATTGATATGCAATAAAGCTATTTATACAACAAATGTTTTCTTAGTGTGTTGCACTGTCTTCATTGTAGAAATGAGTCACTGGATGCAGGATGCGTATTTTATTCATCCAGACAGTAGCTTAGGGTGAGTTCGCAGCATAATGCACGGGATAAAATAGGGGAACATGATTGCCTATTGTGCTCTGGCTAAATAAAGGCAACATAGCTCTGTAGCGACATTACAAAAAATAAGCAATGCATACCAACAGCATAACATTTAGCAACCCAATTTTGAACTATGGTAATTGACCCTGCGCTACTGCATGGGAGTCACAAATATTTGAAGAGGTGTTTTACGAGTCGTCAGTCTCTATGGTAACATGAGATTATTGATGCGTGAATTCCACAAATAACTACCAGTAATACATGCTGCCCTGGCTCATACCTCTGAGTTACAGTGAGGTCGCCGTGACTAGAAATAAAATCTACTTGCTGGAAACTAGTAAAATCACGACGCAAGCTGCTACTTACCTGAGACCTCTGTGCCCAGTGGAATCTCCGCATGGCTGGCGGTAGCGCTGTCGCGCAAGGCAATAGCGCTTTAGCGCTGGGCAACGAATGATGCTGGCCTTTCTTCACATCGTACCCAAACGAGCTCGCCATAGTCCATATCTCTGTCAGCAGCTTCACTTTTTCACTATACTGTTCCTCTGTGCCGGACCTACCAGTATGCCAGTGATTGAGGTAAAACCGGTTTAGACATCTGCGTGAGTTGCGTTCAGAGCGATTGAAGCATTCGTCCTTTAAAACATGCTAGGCCAAGCAAGAAGGAGCTTCGTGAATCAGTCATGACCCACAATTGTCCGGGTGCCTTTTTTTTTTTTTTTTGTTTTGGTCGCTGTCTACGCAGCCAACGCAAATGCGAGAAGCAGCTTTTACTGTTGCGGGCAGAAAATTAGCTCCGATCACTCAGAAACGCTAAAATTCAACATAATGAACGAACGGGATACTCAAACATTGCCAGAAACCCGAGACTGAGGAAAAAAAGGACACAGACAAAAAACAGAACAACCACGACAACCTTTATTTACGATATTCACTTTCTTATGTTGGCCTGGTGATTTGCGTGGAAGTATGCGAGCAATAGGTCGCACCGCTCGCGTACCGACCGCATGGTAAGCACCTTTTTGGGTTCGACGGCGTCGCCAACGTTCTTGGCTATCGACACCCATCTTTGTGGGTGCTCGAAAGGGTTCGTCGCGTTCACTTTCTTGAGGAGGTTGATGTCATATTCAATGGTAAAGCGAACCCGTACAATGCGCGTAGCACTTCCGCTGGTTTGCCTCACCGCCGCCATTTTTCAAATTGGACTAGTCTCGCGCTCTCCCGTGCGCGACGAGAGCAACGAGATGGCACGCAGGGGACCGCTACGTACGTTCGCAAAAATCGATAGCGAGCGTAAGTACGCAAGGCTCGCCGCAGCACGTACGTATGGCGCACGCGCAGTGTGGAGGACGCAACGTTAACGTTAAAGTATGGGGTCTGCGTTCGCTCCTATACGTATTACTAAAACTCTCTATTTCCACACCGCGCCGAAACGTCCAGTGACGACGCACGTTTCGCGTGTGAAAGAAAGAGGAGGGGAGGAGGAGAGGGGGCGAATAAGGAGGAGGCGCATACACTCCCTTCAGCAGCCTCCCCTCATCCTTCACAATAACTGCGCTAAAAATCGGAGTTACGGGAAGTTGTGGTCGAGGGCTGATAAGCCCTCGACCACAACTTCGACCTTCGATCCACGGTTTGCGTGGGTCGATGGCTGATAAGGTCTGCTCCGTTCAGTTGCTTGGCTTTTCTGATTGCATCGTCAATTGTACTGGGTGGATACTTTTCTTTCTCTAGCACTGAATTTAAATTTTGGCTGTTCGCATCAATATCTGTCTCTTTGGAATTCGTTTGAAACGATTAGCTCGGCAATAGTGATTGCTGTCGTGTACATTGTTGTCGGTTTACGGTACTGGCTCGTGGAGGCACGTAGCCCGGATTTTGTTCCGGGGACGGGGGGGGTCCGCCTGTGACAAAATGCTGTATGAGGAGGAGAGGAGTGGAGGTCTCAAAAAAATGAAAGATTTCGGGGAAGGGGGTGGGGTCTGGGCAATATGCCCCCCCCTCCCCCCCCCCCTCTCCCTTGGCTCCGTGCCTGGGCACGAGCCCAGTTTAACTTCGTCTATTTTAACAGTGACGTCTAAGGAGTTTATTTCTTTTTCAGAGTACGAATGAGTAAAGCGGATGGTCGGATGAGCAACGTCGTTTTGATCTATAAAGTCCACACATGTTGAGTTCTAAAACAAGCCTCGCTAGATTAGCGACGACGTGTTCATCTGGGCTGTCCGGTTGTTTGTAAAGTTCGTACATGTCAATTAAAGAAATTAATCTATCATTGTGTGGGATATTCGTATACATCGATGACACATCTAGTGTTAATAGACATGATTATTTTGCTCTGCATAAATTTGATATTTCCATTAAAAATGTAGTTGTGTCTTTAATGTATGCATCGAGACTTGTAAGTATCGGTTTAATAAAACTCTCTACATAATTTGATATGGGTCTGGTTACTGCACTTATTCCGGATATAATTGGGCGCCCTGGTTTACCAGGTTTGTGAATCTTAGGGGGCATGTAGGAGCGGCCCGGGGGAGGCTGTACCGGTTTCATTAGTTTATGTCCCTTAGTAGTTATTCTGCCCTAATCTAGGAGATCCTTAAGGACCGAGGTCAAAATCTCAGTGTGGTGCACCGTAGGGTAATCTGCGAGAGGCTCATAAAATTGGAGTCATTTAGTTGGCGGTTTCCTTCTCGGATACCGCCAACTAAACGCAAACTGCGCACTCTCCTGGACCTCAAAAACACTGATGATAAGATTGAGCAGTCGGTCCAGATGATGTCGGCCAATTATGATGAGCTACTGAAAGGACTAAAAAAAACAAAAGACAAATCGCGGAGCTGAAGAAACGATTCGAAAGTACCGGAGAGCTGAAAAATGAAGCCGAAACGCTCAGACAAGAAGTGAATGACCTAGAATGGCACAGCCGAAAACTAAACTTTGAACTTCATGGTATAAGGAAAACTGAAAATGAGGATCTGCTGAGCAAGGTGAATGCCGTAGCCAGAACGCTGGAGCTATTAGAGATAACTGGGCAAGATATTGTCGCCTTGCACAGACTTCCCTTTTGTTCCGGAAAAGCCTCACGGATTATCATTCGTTTTTCGAATGCAGCAGCCAGGGAGCAGTGGCTGAATATCAGGAGGAAACTTAAGAGAGGGAAAAACGAAGAATACATTCTTGAGAACATGACTAGACAAACAAAAGCACTGCTCTGGGCGGCCAAGGATTGGGCAAATGAAAACTACTATCAGTACGCGTGACACAGGAACGGGAATTTGTATGTGCGAAGGGAGCAAGGCTACAACGCTGTTATGAGCACGAAAGATAACTTTTTGAAGCTTGAGTGACAAAGCATTTTTTTCACGTTCCTTTTGATTAACGGTGAAAAATGCCTAGTTTAGATATCGTACTTCCATCGGAGGTAAGCAGATATCTTGGCAATGGTATAAATGACACAGTGAAGTATTTTCACCTAAACCTACGTTCTGCAAAAAACACATGTTTGGAGCTAGAATTTCTATTTAAACAGTTTGTGTTTTTATTAAGCTTTTTGAGACCTGGTGCACCAATGAAGCTGATAGTTTCAAGCTACCAATGTATAAGAGTTGTGTTTTAAAGCGAAACAGCAGCAGAGGTGGCGGGATCTCCCTCTTAATAAAGAAAATCTTGAACTCTGATTCATTGACCGACTACTGAATTACTAATAGGGGTTATGAAATGTTATCAGTTGTAAAAAAAAATGAAAGCCGTTTACAACTCCCTGTAACGCCGAATTAGAGCGCAGCTCTTCAGGAGGAGGAG